GTTGGGGAGTCGAAGTGGGGTGTATCATCTTTGCAAATTGTTCAATACATGAGGATGAAAAAACTCACATTTTAGTTGATCTGTTGAACCTTAGTTCAATACTGGTTTATTCAAGTTTTTGGTTTCAGTTTTTTGGGAATGTCTTTTTTCCTGTTAGCTTAGTTTTCATAACATGTTTTAAGTTGTCAAGTCTTTTACTAGCTTGTTTCCATTGGGGTTGTGTCATTGTGAGGTGTCGTTGGCTTTGTGGCAAGTGAGTGGATGTGATTTGTGGTCTTATGTTGGACCGGAGAAAGAGAGTTTGAATAAGGGACTGAATTAGCTGCATGGTTTGGACTGGCTCTTGGCTATGAATATACTGTCAACTTAACCAACTAAAAAGGTCTCAATATTTTTTGCACTGCCAGAGACAATACTGCTGTGATTTTATATCTTAATCAATTGAATTTTTTGGGACTGTTCTTGTAAGGTTGGTTCAAATCACTAGTTTATGGGCATATCTCCTCCTGCTTGCTAGGCTTAATGAGAGCCATGACGGTACAATTGCCTGTAATGAGGCATTCTATCTTAGACTACTGGACTTCATCAAAGGCTGATTATTATGTGCTCTAGTGTCTGCTAGATTGCTAATGCCGTTGAATTCTGATCACAAATAAATTATCAAAAGTAGCCCATATATCCATTTCATTTTTTCTGTGCTACTAATTGGCATGCACATTGCAGCATTATCTTGCTGGTTGAAAATATCCATCAGACCTGGGTCTCCTTGACATTTGGTTATGAGATATTATGAAAGTGTGGAAACAGTTTCAAAGTTGTTCTTACTACTATTGTTTCCAGTAATGGTCTGGTTTTACTCTGTCTTAACATCGGATATTAAGTTTTTCCTAATTGCGTCAGCTGTTATTTCTCTAGGTTGTTCTTGCTATTACTGTCTTCAAATTCATTCAATTATTATTCTCTGGCCTCAGCCTCTTATGTTTTGATTTTCCTCATTGCATCTACTCAACAATTTGTGATGTGTTCTTTCTGGGACATCTTTACTAGCTTTGATCATTACTTGCATTCAGGTCCAGACACTGAATGCCTTTGAGTAGTACTTTAGAAACATAATCCTGGCTGCCCATTGATTGAATGGTTTTCATGAAATGTCATACACATTGTTATTGAGAGTGGTGCTGGGGTAAACTTCGACATGCTGCATACATTATGTGGTTGCATACATAATGGCCATTAAAAATATGACTGTCATAAAATTTAAAATTTAAAAATTTGATGACGTGACATGGCACGTCATCATTATGACACTTATGCGTTACGTCACGTGACATTTTTGAATTATATTATTAAAATTTAGTTAAAGTTAATTGAAATAGTTAGTTAAAATAGAAAACGTGGTTGAAGTGAATTTTAAAAAGTAACTAGCTAAATATTTAAATATATTTTGAGTAGTTATTTTACTGAGTGTGGTTGAAGATATTCTTAAAGGGTAAAGTAAGAAAATAAATTTTTTTTCAAAGATACATACTTTTTAAAGTAATATAGATACAGATTAGAAACAACTCTTGTGAAGAAAAGAAAAAAAACACAATAAACTAAAGGAAGTCAGTCTTCTAGTTTTCATTAGGTGGGTAGGGCCGAATATAATCTCAATAAGGTTTCCTCATTTTTCTCTTTTGAAGTTACAATCTCAATGGTAGATGTAAGTTAGTTTCCTAACGACTAATGGTTAGCGCCATCTGAAGTTAGTCCAAAAGCCGAGTTTGATTTAGGGCAGAAATTGAAGATAATTGTTGGTTCTCTCCTGGTCATGGCCTCCTTAATTTCCACCCAATTTTATTTGCTTCCATGCATACTTGTTCAATCACAACCACAACGGGGAAAAAGGGAATAGCTAAGCGGCCCATGGATGGCATATTTATCACTTATTCATTAGTAGTTTCTGTAAAAATTAAGGCTTTGTTTAATCTCTCTGTCAACAGTGCCGGGCTGGGTCTCCACCAACAGACGGGCTTTCCTGGATTGTGTATGTCTGGATCTCAACAGTCTTAAACTCAACTTTGGTCCTGGATTTTTGATCGCAAGTAGTGCCCAAACCTCGGAGAAGCCCAATATATATAATAATTCCTCAGTCCATAGAACATACATGTTCTGTCCAAGACATCATATTTGTTTTCATCTATTCTTCTTCCATCTTCCTGGCCGAAAAACCATCATAGATAGCATTTGTGAATTAGTGATAAACTTGTTATATATATATACATGGTATCCAAAAGGGAGGGTAATACAATTCTTTATTTGCAGAAGCGTGCTATTACTATTGTAAATATAACTAATTTAAAAGAATGGAATAGATCCAATTCGGATAGAAAAAAAAAAAGCACACAAAAGACACATAATTTAAGGTTAAAAAAAATGTTGTAAGATGATGGCATGTATATTTGTTTAAGTGAAATGGTGTACCTAAATCAACTCACTCACGTTTGGGTATTTTAGCAAAGATGCATTCAACCTTTACAGATAAAATTCACATTTGTGAATTGATATTTGATAAACTGAGTGGGGGTAGAAGAATACAGTTGTAATTAGCGGGCTGATATCATCACTAGCAGTTATATACAGGAGGACTCTCTGTCACTGACGACTTATTATTATTTGGAACCTTCTGACAACCCAGCCGTGTCTGCGTTTCATCAGCTCTGACTTTGTCTAACAAAAGTTTGTGATGCAACTATCCTACACCATCCATAAGCACCTGATGACAATATGGGCATTTTAGTAATACCACTATAAGCGAGTCCCCCGTCCGCGAAAATACGTACACATCGTCTTTAAGCGGGTGCAATGGGGAAGACACTGAGCAAAGAGCAGACGATAACAAAATCCAATTTTATTTTTCAGTTTCTTACTGTAACCCTTTTTTGTATGTAAATTAACAATTATTTTCAAATATTCTATGGAGTAAGTAGCTTAAGAAAAAGAAAGGAAGAAAGAGAAAAAAGTAAGATAAAGACAAAACATAAAAGAGTTGCAAAGAGAGAGAGANGCTTAAGAAAGGAAGAAAGAGAAAAAAGTAAGATAAAGACAAAACATAAAAGAGTTGCAAAGAGAGGGAGGGGGAGGGAGAGGCTTGGGCAGATAAAGTAAAAATACGATGAAGGAACAATAAAAATATATAATTATAGGGTAAAATTTTTTGGTGAGGTCTGGAAATGGAAAACAGAGGATGATGGATGGATGATACAATTACAATTACAATTACAGTCACAGACACAATGGAGCGAAACTCCCGCGCTTTGCATAGGGATTCTCAATTTCCATTCCCATGTTTCAGATCTTCTCTCACATCTTTCCTTTCCTGCCCCCTTTTTACTCCCTATAAATCCCACCCTCTCAATCTCTCTCTCTCTCTCTCTCTTTCTCTTTCTCGTTTCCGTTTCTCTTCTCACCACACTCTCTGCGATATATGTAATGTAACCCGCCCTCACTCTCTCTGTCTGACTAAATTCTTTTTATTCTCTTTTTTTATCGTTTTCTCGCCGTAGATCTCCTCCGTCCCTTTCTTCTGATTCTTTCTCTCTCTCCCCCGCGCAACTTTTCAGATCCCTAAGAAGAGTGATCTGGACCCTTCGATGCTTAGACTTCCAAAGTTTGACTTTGTCGCCATCAGTGGTCTCTTGTAGAGGAGGGACAAACACAGAGAGAGAGCCTTGCCTTTCTCAGCTTTGATGGGCCAGTGTTACGGTAAGACTATTCCCACCGGGGACGACGACAGGCCCGCCAACACCACCACTATCACCACCGTAGCCGCTGGCGAAAGTGATCGCCCACCTCAGACTCCGCTCACGTCTTCTTCTAATAACGGCACCGTTAATATTCCTTCCGTGAAGAACACGCCGGCTCGATCTTTTGCTACGAGTCCGTGGCCTAGTCCATACCCTCATGGAGGCGGAGCCAGTCCATTACCGGCCGGAGTGTCGCCCTCTCCTGCTAGGTCCACGCCGAGGAGGTTCTTCAAGCGGCCGTTTCCGCCTCCGTCGCCAGCCAAGCACATTAAGGCTTCGCTTGCGAGGCGCTTCGGCCATGCGAAGACGCCTCGAGAAGGTCCGATTCCAGAGGACGGTGCCGCTGAGTCTGATCAGAATCTCGATAAGAGCTTCGGCTATAATAAGAATTTCGGTGCCAAATATGAATTGGGGAACGAGGTGGGCAGAGGACATTTTGGTCATACTTGCCACGCTAAGGGCAAGAAAGGAGAGCTCAGAGACCAACCTGTTGCTGTGAAGATCATTTCCAAAGCGAAGGTTCCTTCTTTTTCATTTATCTCATTACAATTCTGTTGTTTTGGGATTTCTAATTTTTTTTGCCACTTTATCAATTCCTAATTATTGCTATAGAGCTTTTTGAAATTTGGTTGCTAGAATTTTGGGATTCTGCCTTCGTGACTAACATTGACTTGGTGTCGCATTGGCTGATTGTTAGCTTAGTTTTCTGTTTCAGTGTCTTGGTTCTGATAGGGATTTTGGTTCGCTTGAATTAGAGTAGTTGTGAGAAGGTTTCTAATGTATCAAAATTAGACGCATTAGAAAAGAAAGATAAAAAGAGAGGAAAAGGGAAACAATTCATTACTCAATTGTTATTGCTGGAATGCCTTGTTAGAAAAATGAGCTTTTGTGATGACAAACTTTTCAACTTAGTTGTCAAACTCTCAAGTTCTGTAGACATTTGATAATAACCATATCTGTAATAACCCTTTTTTGCCTTCCCATTTGATCCCTTTAGCAGCATATGTATTGTTGTGGTGTGAACCGGTTAATTATCCGATATGACAAATAAGTTGAGGGGAAAGGTCTCAAGAAATTAAATAAGTCAATTAAATATAATTATCAGTAATTTATTTAATATATTTAATTGATGAACATCTGAAATCTTAATTGTGAGAGATTATTAAACATATAATAATAAGGAGCTCGAAACATAATTTTTGAGATAAGGTTTAAAAGATCAATAATAAGTTTTTAGTGGACTAATTTATATTAATGGACTACAGGATATTTGTTCTGGGTTAAACATAGGAATCTTAGGTCGTATCCTATATATAGACGTCTAGACATCACCTTTATTACTCACGTTTTGAGGGAGGCTGAGAGAGAGCGCAGAAATTCGGAAGCCTTTGCAGTGCACACTGCATCTGGATTTTGGCTTTGGGGGATATACAACAAAAGATCGTGAGGTTTAGCGACTTGTTTTCTACGTCTGTCTTTAGATTCTACATTCATGCTGAGACAGATGAGATCAATCTAGAGCGATCTCGAAGGTAAATCTTAGTTTCGTTTTGTAGAGTTTTAATGAATTTTTTTTTGTATTTGATACATACGCGCTGTCAATGATTCTTGGGACTACTGTTCCAACAATTGTTTCATAAGAATATGAATTACTCAACATGAGGATGTAGTCGTTTCATAAGTAATCTTAACATTGTTGTTATATGTGCAGTAATGCACGAATGCCAAATTGGTTATGACAGCAAAATTATTAGCAACAGAGTAGTTGACACTTGTTCCGTTAATGCTAGATGATAGAACATCCTTAAATTAGTGTATAACCTTTTAAAGTCCATGAAGCAAATCAAAGCTCGCTGTCAATGCATTTGTTTATTTCCCTCAGTTGGATATGTTGTTGGAACATGCACCCGGTGACCGGAACAAATCCGTGAATGTAATGGACATATACAAAATAAGGAATTAACTTACCAAAAAAAAAAAAAGAATCCAACATGGTGACATAAAATATTTAGGATGCAACGTATTTATATCCTTGTCCCATATGTCCAACACACCGTGTCTCCATGTGATTGAAACAACTTGAACTTGAAAGTATAAAGATGCACTTGCTTTGATATTGGTTGCAAAAATGCAACATGATAAACACTATGTTTATTATATGGTGGAAGGTTAATGTATGAATATCCTTTTAACACTTATTTAGCCATGGGCTTTATATCTCTGTGATTCTTAAATTTGTGTAAAAATGATATGAATATTCGTGGACACATGCATATCATTTTCTCTCCAACCTAATCTACCGCATACGTCCACCTAACTTAGATATGGATTGCTCTATAAACCTGTACAATTTCTCATAATATATATATATTTCCTTATAGAATGGCTATTAGATTGATCTATGTATGTGGTAGATTTACATGGAACTCTATTGTGTAGTAAACATTTTTAAGTGGATACAGTGCTTATCATTGCCTTGTATGTTAAGATAATTTGGTATATTACTCACCTACTTGGTAATGCATTTTGGCTAATGTAATGCATGTTGGCTAATGACAAGCTGATGGGAGTTTGATCTCTATGGAAAGCAGGGATAAGATAAATATTTGTATAAACTATAGTGTCTCGCTTAATAGGCATATGCCTTTTAAACAAAGAACGAATGGAGACTTCATAACTATATGTTCATCAATTTTCTTAGCGGTAGGCTTAAGAATAAACATTACATAAACTTACAACGCTTGTTGAGTATGCCAGTGGTAGTTTTGATCAACATAAATCCCATCAATTGTTGTCTTAGATCTATTAAGTTCTTGTCTTGTATTACATAGTTATTTCAAAAACTGGTTAAACCTGATCAGTTGAAACATACATTTACTGTATTTTTAGTATATGATGGATTTTTTATTTAGATTTTAGATCTTAATTTGGAGGTGTTGTACTGTTAGTCATCATGATAACTTTTAGAAATAATGTCTTTAGTAGATCTTTACTAAGTCACATAAGACCGTGCCATTATAGGAAGGCATTATCATCTCAAAAATTTTAATAGATAGAACTGGAGTTTGTGTTTCATTTTTCCACCTTGTTATTTTTCCTGACTTAGCCATGACTTCATAGTTCTTATGAAACACGAGAACTGCAATGTATCTACCTTGAAAAATGTTCCCCTATTAGACTTGTTAAAATATGTTTAGTGAAGATTAATATTTTTATGCTTTCTCATTGTTTGTTTATCATAAAGAACAATATGGAATGTGAGGATCAAATATAGATGTTGTAAGTGCCTCATTTTATGTATATTTGTGAGGTGNGAAACACGAGAACTGCAATGTATCTACCTTGAAAAATGTTCCCCTATTAGACTTGTTAAAATATGTTTTAAAATATGTTTAGTGAAGATTAATATTTTTATGCTTTCTCATTGTTTGTTTATCATAACGAACAATATGGAATGTGAGGATCAAATATAGATGTTGTAAGTGCCTCATTTTATGTATATTTGTGAGGTATAAGAGGCTGATTTCCATTCGTCCTTTTATTTTACATGATAGAAAATAACAGCATATAAAGAATTTAAGTTGTGTTTTAAGTTAAAGATGCCAAGTAAGGGATTGTTTCTCTTGCTTAATATATGTCATACTTTTGCTTTGAGGTTCATTTTTTGCTATTATCTTCTAGCCTTTTTTATGAAGAACCATAAAGAGTTACTTTAATAGGATTTGCAGATGAATTTAGAATTAACCATATGTTATGTAGTATTCAGAGTAAAGTGCGGGGTTAATATTCTAACTTTAGATGCTTCAAAAAGGCATCTTACCAATTCTCTCTCAGTGATTAGGGAGGACAGGTGACCAAGGAATATGTTGCTTATTAATCATGCTAACTTAATTTGGGCTAGGGTACAACCAATGACCTATTGAAAAGTTAGAGACTATAGTATAAAGTCCTCAGCCATGCTCTTACCAGTAGAATAGATTATATATACTCTCGCCAATTAAGGGAAATTCTATGTTCCATTTTGGTAGTTGCTCGGATTTCTTGCAATAAGCGCAAGTGATTTCGACAGATGAAGTTGTAATTGATTTGTTTTCATATGATGATTGCTTGTGAACCTACCCTCATCGCTCGTTCTTTCAAACTCGTGTGTCTTTACCAACTCAATACCCCTTGTGAGCACTCACAACTAAGCGAGACTCGCATACTATCGCATTAACTGTCTTGAGAATCTCTTTGCAGGAGCCAAGTCATAATGAAATTGAAAACCGACTCTTCCTTGGCCATGTAGAGCATGGATTAGCATAATGTCATTCCTACAAGTGATCCCCCATCCACCATAGAAAGAAGTACTATTTGAGGACTGTGAGATCAAATATAATATGTCTTTTCATTCCTTGTGAGCCACTTATTTCATTGAACCAAGCGATCAAAGTGATCTTTCTCTTTATTTTTGAGTTGGCGATGATTGATGTTTGTTTCTTTTAAGGGTCAGGGGGTTTGGTTCTCTGTATGCTGTATGACTATTTTGAAGTATCAACATGCATATCAAGTGTATTTGGTTGAAAAGGATATGAAGAGAGGTTAGAAAAAAATCCACTTCTGAAGGGTTTTATAACATGCACGAATTGAATGCCAAATGAGAGGAAGTCACTCGTTGGACAAAAATAATTGTTCTCTTGTTTTATTTGTTTTAGAGTCATACATATTAAAACATTGAAAGAAGTTCAGAACTATGTTGTTAAATCACATTCATTGGTATTTTGTTTTATTGAAGGCCTTGTTGAGCATGCCAAACTAAATTTCTAAGCAGTGTGAAAATGTAATTCCTATTTCGAGGAATGTTTGAAATTAACTTTAGTTAGTATGGATTAGTTTTATATCACAGTTTCACTACTTGCACCTATAGTTTGGCTTTTCAATCTTTTGTCTTCCAATAGAAACAATTTCAAGTGACCTAGCTCAGAAAGTATTGAAGCTTTTCTTGGATTGCTGTGAGTTTGGTGACTTGTGAAACTCACTTAGGTGCCATTTGTGACGACTTATGAAATTTAAGAAGTGTTTTTTNAGCTCAGAAAGTATTGAAGCTTTTCTTGGATTGCTGTGAGTTTGGTGACTTGTGAAATTCACTTAGGTGCCATTTGTGACGACTTATGAAATTTAAGAAGTGTTTTTAAAATGAGTACTTATGAAAAGTATGATATAATGAAAGCACTTTCATTGAATAAATATTGCTTAGATATTCACAAATAGACACTTAAATTATGTGCATTTTGTGAAAAATTGTGTTTCAATGATCAGGGAAAAACATTTATTTGTGTAAGAATGACCAATATATCCCAAAGGGATTGCCAGATGTGATGTGCCCTAGTTTATTTTCACAGTTGTTGGCCATGTTGTATGGAGACTTCTACTAGATTTGTCTCTCCACATGGTGAAGCATCCTCTTGTTTTGAAAGGTGTCAAGACTCTAGTGCAATTCCGACCATCATCTAATTTTAGGTATCGTTGTGTTTTGTTTTTCACTAGAGGTAATCCGTGTCTAAAGGCACAGAGTAATGTGAATGGTTTTGAGAGGCATGTTGGTGGTCGTTGTATGAGTCTATTTGAGACCGTCGGATTGAATTATTAAAGTCTATCCAGTTTTATATTATAGATTCCCCCTCCTTTCTTTTTCTTAAAGGGATACTAACTAAATTGATAATTGAGAGTTCTCTTCCTTCAATAGATGCCTCATCAATATCTAAAGTAAGGATTTTCATTTTTATTTCCCAATTTTTCTAGATAAATCAGTCAATTCCTTGCTTGAATCTCATTNCAATATCTAAAGTAAGGATTTTCATTTTTATTTCCCAATTTTTCTAGATAAATCAGTTAATTCCTTGCTTGAATCTCATTTTTTTTTATTTTGACTCCAGTTGCTGAATTTCTTGTTTGAATTTCCCCATCACCCATTTCGGAAATGAATTATAACTATGAAAATGGGTCTTCACTAATTCATCATTTGCAAATAATGGCATGAACAAAATTGTGTTTAGATGTCTTTGTTTATTGTTGAAATCATTTTGCCCCTTCTTGTTTCTCCTAAGATTGAATAACGCATTATATTTGATGTCTGCTTTATCTTATTTCCTGTTTAGAAAGAAGTATCTGTATCTTGACAAGCTTTGTTTGGCAGATGACAACAGCTATATCGATCGAAGATGTTCGCAGAGAAGTGAAAATATTGAAATCTTTATCAGGGCATCAGCATCTGGTCAAATTTTTTGATGCTTGTGAGGATGCCAACAATGTATACATAGTGATGGAGTACGTATTTCTTATCTTTATCCATCTTGTGTAGGAGTATTTTTTGTTCTGTTTGTAATATGCATGTTGAAAACTTTTAGAAACATTTTTTTTGTATGGAAATTATTTGTCTGTTTCTCTGTCTTACTCTCTGAATGAAATTTTTCCGTGCTATTTTTGCATTTTAGGATATGTAGATAGGGTTTATGTGTTCTCATCCTTTTTATATTACTGTAGATACTTGTTTCATCTCATCCTAAAATATTAAGTTGTTGCGCACCACGACTACATTGATAAAAAAAATAAGTTACTATCCAGGGTTTCTAATTAAAATTCTCTTCATAACCGTTATCCCACCCCCCCTCCTTCAAAGTTTTGTTCTGATGAAAGGCACTATTTTGTGATCTTTTCAGGTTGTGTGAAGGTGGAGAATTACTTGACAGGATATTGTCAAGGTAACATGAAAGATCCATCTTGTATGTTATTGTCTTCATCAATAGATTCAATTTGGAAGTGTAACATGTTTATCTTTCATTGCAGAGGTGGTAGATACACAGAAGAGGATGCAAAACTTATTGTTGTTCAAATGTTAAGTGTCGTTGCATTTTGTCATCTTCAAGGCGTTGTCCACCGTGACTTAAAGCCTGAGGTTATTGATCCTTATTGTAGGAAGACTACTGCTTACCACAATAAGATGCTGATTATTCTTTGCTTTCAATTTCCATTGCCTCATCATCTGTTTCTTGTTATTAACACTTTATTTCACTCTCTTGCCTTACAGAATTTCCTTTTCACCTCTAGAAATGAAAATGCTGATATGAAGCTAATTGACTTTGGTCTGTCTGACTTTATCAGACCAGGTAACAGTCATGGATATTACTGAGTGTGGTCATTTTCTTAAGCTACATTCATACCTATCTCTATCAAGGCAACTTGACCCTCGGATCGTACTCTAGAAGCACACCATTCCCCTTTATACCTAGTTGGCATTTTATCACTTATCTTGTCCCTCCGAATATTTGGATTTCATGTCGGTGAAAATTGCAATACAAAACCTCATCTGCACACACGACCAAATGATTTCATTTTTTTTTATGTTGGCTTTGGGTCTGTGGATGCGCTTTATGCAGCTAACAACTGATGAAACCGAAATACTTATTATTATATTATTTTCCAATAAGTTAACCTTTATCTTTATGCTTAATACGTATATACCTATCTGTATTTTTTTTGTGCAATTAATGGCAAAAATGTCCTATGTGTATATGTAATCAATAACGTCCTATGCTTACAAGCCTTTATGAACTGAACTTGGGGCTTTACAGGGTTGGCTGCCCAGTAAAATAATTGTGATCTTGGTTCAAGCCTTTCGCATTTGCTTGGTGAATAGCCTGAATAAGCCACTTGCAAGCCAATCAATCTGCCTGCATGCAGGTCAACAAATTGAGCTTTGCTAAACGTTTTGTGATGAGTTTGTGGGATTTTGGCCTTTCACGCTTGTACTTAGTTTTTCTGAACGTGTTGAACTTAATTTTCCCCATGTGTAGCTCGTTCAGTTTCACTTCACATTTCTGGTGGTTGCAATATATGACTCTTTGTAGACTGCCCCTTATCAGTGCATTTCTGCCTTCATTTTATAGCTTAGATGGTTATGAGCATCCTGTGACTTGGATTGAACTAATCCTTAGCTCTATATTTTTCTCTTTGTGTTTTGTGAAAGTCCAGATGAAAGACTCAATGATATTGTTGGAAGTGCATACTATGTGGCGCCAGAAGTCCTCCATAGATCTTATAGTCTGGAAGCAGATATTTGGAGTATTGGTGTTATCACCTATATTTTATTATGTGGTAGCAGACCATTCTGGGCAAGAACAGAATCAGGAATTTTCCGTGCTGTGCTGAGAGCTGACCCCAACTTTGATGATATGCCTTGGCCGTCTGTGTCACCAGAAGCCAAGGACTTCGTGAAAAGGCTCTTAAACAAGGATTACAGGAAAAGGATGACCGCTGCTCAAGCTTTGAGTAAGTTTCCAGTTCCTTTTCCTGTTCTCTCAATAGGCTTGGAAATTGGCCAATTATTATGATTTCAAATGCTTTGCAAGGTGGCAATTGCTTCTTAATGCCAAATTATTTCATTTTTCTGGACACTTCATGAATACCACTGTACAGCTGGACTTCACTGCAAAAAAAAAAAAAAAATGATGTGCAAGGGTTTTGCTTAGTCCCTCTTGATGGGAAGCTGCACCAATGTGGTGGAGTCATGGGCGTGGATCATTAACATGTAGTACAATAAAATGGCTTTCCATTTGTTATGCCAGAGCCTTTAATTATTCAATCATGTTCTCTTTTGATGGTAATTTATGAGATGACCTCCACTCATGTGGTGATCTGCTTTAAATGCTATTAAGCAACTCTTTTGAGGATAATCCACAATTCTGATTTATTAGCCTCTAAAAGATGTTTATATCACTTCTTATTTAGTCAACTAATAAACTGATACCCGCCTTTCATGGTTGCAGCTCACCCATGGTTGCGGAGTGAGAGCCATCCTGTTCCTCTGGATATATTGATCTATAAATTGGTTAAGTCATACCTTCATGCTACACCTTTCAAGCGTGCAGCACTTAAGGTACTGTCTTTGTAGTTATGCTAGATATCACTTTGTTCTTAATTTCTTTGCCCCGTGCATGCCACATTTATGTTCAGTTGCTTATCACTTCTAAGGTGGGTATTGTGTGATAGATGCATACCACTTGNGCGTGCAGCACTTAAGGTACTGTCTTTGTAGTTATGCTAGATATCACTTTGTTCTTACTTTCTTTGCCCCGTGCATGCCACATTTATGTTCAGTTGCTTATCACTTCTAAGGTGGGTATTGTGTGATAGATGCATACCGCTTANGCTACACCTTTCAAGCGTGCAGCACTTAAGGTACTGTCTTTGTAGTTATGCTAGATATCACTTTGTTCTTAATTTCTTTGCCCCGTGCATGCCACATTTATGTTCAGTTGCTTATCACTTCTAAGGTGGGTATTGTGTGATAGATGCATACCACTTGAGCTAAAAAGAAAGTTCTATAGAATGGCCATAAGACCTGCCATGCTTTATGGTACGGAGTGTTGGGCAACTAAGAAATAATACTTTCACAAATTGAGTATGGCGGATATGAGAATGTTAAAATAGATGTGTGGTAAAATTAGGAATGCTAGAATTAAGAATGATATTATCTGTGAAAAGTAGAGGTTGCATCTATAGGTGATAAATTAAGTGAGAATTGACTTAAGTAGTTTGAACACATCTATAGACAACCTACTACGACTCCAATGAAAAAGAGTGATATGATAGCAAGCTATTGAAGGTAAGCATAGGGGTAGAGGTTGGCCAAAATTAACCTTAACTAAAATAGTAAAAAAAAGACATGATAACTTATGGTTTAATAGAAAGTATGACCCCTTATAGAGTATAATGGAGAAAGAGGATTCATATAGCCAAAAATATTTGGACAAGGTTTTGTTGAGTTGAGTTGCTTATCACTTCTAAGCATCAAATATGGCCATTGGAAACTGTAGAGATCCATTAATGCTTACTGTGCTGTGCAATTGATTGAGTGGTCTCTCTCTCCCCTCCTCCTCCTCTTCCTTCCTTTACCTCTTTTGACTAGTAAAGTAGACCTTGAAGCAAGAAAACGACCTCTTGGATATGGATAGAAGTCACAGAACATATTCTGCATCTTGCCGGCTTTCTTTGGCACAGGGTCTAATCATTTTATGCATTCTATTTGTTTAATTTACTGGTTTGTTGGTGTTTTCTTGCAATCCCCCTTTGGCTTTTACCCTTTTGAGAAGTTAGATAAACAATTACAAAGTTTTTAGGTCGTAAAAAGTAAATTTTTTTATTAAATTTGAAAAAATAATGGTTAGTTATTGGGGAGTGGAGGGGTGACTACAAATGATGTGGTAGTATTTAATTGAAGGGAGTCTTAGGTTTTGAATTAAAAATCTCAAAATTCTAAGAATTGAGGGAATGAGGAGAGAAGGCTTTCCAAGCCCTCTCCCTCTAAATTGCTATATATATTGGCCTTAGGTTTTCATCTTGGCCTATTTACTTGTCAGCCAATATTTTGGTAATAATTTCCATCGAAATAGTATCATTCCACTCTGTTATATTTGGCATCTGAATTAATTGTAATCATTCTCTTTCTATTATTTTGTGTGATATAGATGGTCATTCTCAGTTTTCGTGCCTTGAAGTTTCTAGTTTCCATATTTTTATTGTTCATGGCTCCATTTTTTCGTTATGATTCCCTTGAGGAATTTGTTAACTCAAATGTTAAAAGAAAACAAAATGAGATGCTTTTTGTTCCATTGGAGGAGAAAATCTCTCTTGTTGGATTATATTCGCTATTACTTCTCATGAATGCATACTTCTTCCAGGAGTTCATGAATCTTACTGAACTCTCACTATTATCTTTCTCAACTTACCCTGGTCTACATGTTGAACGTCTCAATTGAGGAATTTGTCTCATCATTTTTTTTCCATTGAAGTTTTTTCAATTTGAGGATAACTCTTACCGTTTTCTGTTCTATGGTTACAGGCTCTCTCAAAGGCTTTGACAGAGGATGCATTGGTTTACCTTGGAGCTCAGTTTATGCTTTTGGAACCTAATAAAGATGGTCGTGTCTCTGTTGATAACTTCAGAACGGTACCATTCTTTTCTTCATTTTTATATGTTAGTCATTTATATTTTTTTTATCTTTTTCTTCGTACTTTTTTTTCCCTCCTAAACATTGAAGATTTTGGAACTGATATTTCAGGCTCTTCTTCGAAATGCAACTGATGCTATGAAGGAGTCGAGGGTTCCTGATATTCTAAATGCGGTGAGGCATCTGGAATTATTATTTTACTGTGTGATTGGTTCACTTGTTTTTTTTTTCTTTTCCTTTTCCCAGCATGATGGTATTTATAGAGAAACACTACTTAAGCTTAAGCATTTTCCTATTGAGTTTTTCTGTTGGGAACTTCATACCTACTCTCATATAATGTGTGGATTTGTGAGCAATAATCAAATATTTAATGTTTTTCCTCTCGTCTGTTTATGTTTTAAATCCCCAAGGATATGTAGTGATATAACTTCAAGTATTTCTGCTATATATTTTTATAAACATCTGCTGTGTGTCATTTAGATGGCACCTTTATCTTATAGAAAAATGGACTTTGAAGAGTTCTGTGCGGCTGCAATCAGCACATATCAGCTAGAGGCACTTGAAGCATGGGAGCAGATTGCATCTACTGCATTTGACCATTTTGAACAAGAGGGTAACCGAGTGATATCAGTGCAAGAATTGGCTCGGGTACCTACACTTAAAAGGATTAGTTAATTACCTTATTTTTTGGATTTGACTATTTGGTGTTGTATTAGTTCCTTTAGTGTCAACTAACAGTACTTGATGGATGCAGGAATTGAATGTGGGCCCCACAGCTCATTCGATTCTCAAAGACTGGATCAGAAGTGACGGGAAGCTCAGCTTACTTGGATACACTAAATTTTTGCATGGTGTGACACTTCGCAGCTCAAATACAAGACAACACTAAGTTTTTTTTAGCAATCTGGTAAAATGGTAACAAGTAATATTCATGGCATTCAAAGGATTGGAGGAGTTTTTTTTTCCCTTTATAAGGATGGCGAGGAGAAAATTTGTGTACGAATGAATATAGTAGTTGAGTCAGTTGGGAGGTTGTCTAGGCATTTATAAATTGAATTCTCCTTGCTCTTTCCCTTTGTTTGCTAATTCTTAAGTTCCTTTGGGTCTGAGCTCAGAGGTTTTTCAAAGAAAACTTAGAAGAATTTTTTTTTCTTAGAAATTCTATCTGTGTTGATTGAATGTTATTGAGAGCCAAAGAGCTGATGTGAAGAATTATTGTTTTTGTTAGTGTTAATATTGTTTTGACCATTATATTGGAGAGAAAAAAAAAAAAGGAAAGAAAACATGCTCATGTTTATGCTAATACTAATATTGTTTTGGGTGGGTGTAGTGGGGTGTGATATTTGAGGGCCACTGCATGGGAAATTCCATGACACTGTCGGCCATTATTTTAGGAGCAATGGAAGTGAACTACAGTGATTTCATGACAATTGCCATTAGACATGCCAAACCAATACACCATCATTTGCGTCTTCTATCGATGAAACAGATGTGTTTAGAGCCCCCTGTTTTTTTTTAATGTTTTTGAGCCATTGTTGGTTTGGGACGTTCTTGTTTTGCAAATGTGAGAATGTCACCTGATCAATGATAGGCTGTTGGTTATCTCACAAATGTATGCTAGGAATGTAAGTGTGCAGCCTCTGTTTTTTTTAGGTATTTTCGATCTCTTCCTTGTATATTGGTATCCTCCCCAAGCACAACTCCTTTGACCCTCATGCAAACATCATCTTCTAACTTATGTTTATTCCTTAAATTGAGCTAACTAGGTGCCCAAAAGATGCTATACTTCTATCCATGCACACAACTTTCAAATTTGGTGTCTCGTGGACCAACTAGCACATGACTGACTGACTGACTACTCCGAATTGGAAAAATCTAAATTTGGACAATAATATTAATGTATTGTGTTGCACTCTCTATGGATAGCATGAAGTCAATAGCATCATTTTACATTATACATATATAATGAAAAATACTATTTGTAGTTTAATTCAACAACTTGAAAATACAACGAACAAAATGTATNAAAAAAAAAAAAAGGAAAGAAAACATGCTCATGTTTATGCTAATACTAATATTGTTTTGGGTGGGTGTAGTGGGGTGTGATATTTGAGGGCCACTGCATGGGAAATTCCATGACACTGTCGGCCATTATTTTAGGAGCAATGGAAGTGAACTACAGTGATTTCATGACAATTGCCATTAGACATGCCAAACCAATACACCATCATTTGCGTCTTCTATCGATGAAACAGATGTGTTTAGAGCCCCCTGTTTTTTTTTTAATGTTTTTGAGCCATTGTTGGTTTGGGACGTTCTTGTTTTGCAAATGTTAGAATGTCACCTGATCAATGATAGGCTGTTGGTTATCTCACAAATGTATGCTAGGAATGCAAGTGTGCAGCCTCTGTTTTTTTTAGGTATTTTCGATCTCTTCCTTGTATATTGGTATCCTCCCCAAGCACAACTCCTTTGACCCTCATGCAAACGTCATCTTCTAACTTATGTTTATTCCTTAAATTGAGCTAACTAGGTGCCCAAAAGATGCTATACTTCTATCCATGCACACAACTTTCAAATTTGGTGTCTCGTGGACCAACTAGCACATGACTGACTGACTACTCCGAATTGGAAAAATCTAAATTTGGACAATAATATTAATGCATTGTGTTGCACTCTCTATGGATAGCATGAAGTCAATAGCATCATTTTACATTATACATATATAATGAAAAATACTATTTGTAGTTTAATTCAACAACTTGAAAATACAACGAACAAAATGTATATAGATTATCTTGTGTTTTGATAAAAAAGTCATGCTAAACTGAATAAACAATCTTGTTGGCANCAATAGCATCATTTTACATTATACATATATAATGAAAAATACTATTTGTAGTTTAATTCAACAACTTGAAAATACAACGAACAAAATGTATATAGATTATCTTGAATTTTGATAAAAAGTCATGCTAAACTGAATAAACAATCTTGTTGGCATGGCATGGGGAGGTGGATAGTTGATAACGAGTTAAGTGGGGAATTAGCTAAATTCTTTGAGATTATTGCAATGAAATATCACAGAAAAGTTGAGGCATGATAATATCAGGTGCCTCGTTTGTTCATATATCGTCATAAACAAAATTGAGAAACCAAATTGAAAAATAAAACTGAAGAATCAAATAATACGTTTCTAGATTTTATGCTGCACCCTAGTGTTGTCCTTCTAAACATGTAATAAAGGCCGACTAAATGGTTCCAAAGGGNTAACGAGTTAAGTGGGGAATTAGCTAAATTCTTTGAGATTATTGCAATGAAATATCATAGAAAAGTTGAGGCATGATAATATCAGGTGCCTCGTTTGTTCATATATTGTCATAAACAAAATTGAGAAACCAAATTGAAAAATAAAACTGAAGAATCAAATAATACGTTTCTAGATTTTATGTTGCACCCTAGTGTTGTCCTTCTAAACATGTAATAAAGGCCGACTAAATGGTTCCAAAGGGATAATTGTTCTACAGTCAACATCGTGACTTCTTAATTTCTTAATTACGTGAATTCTCGGCACCCTTATGTGATTACTTTCTCACCTACTATAGATCGATCAATTATTCAAAAATTATAACAATAATCAATATCAACAAATAAAAGCCTACGTGCACACTTCATTCCAAATATATTGCTGTCTGGTTCGCTGCTTTCAATTGAATCCAACCAAATTAAAGGACAAAGGTTCATAGTTACTATTAACATTATATGACTTACTATATATAGATTCAAGTGGGATTCATTATTTATAATTACCATTGAATGAAAATGTAGGAGAGGATGATCTTCAATTACATAAAATTAATGAAAATTATAATAGAAAAGATCTGAATCTAACAAATAAAAGATTGTGTACCCAAAACAAGAATAAGGAAAAAGAGAGAGAGTTTTGGCATTTATTTTTCGCATATCAATGCTTAATTCTGTCGCAGTTTTGGAAAACTGTAACGAATTTAAGGGCCTAATGCTATGCCGCTCCATCCACTGAATTTGTCTTCTCTTTCTTTCTTACTCTACTGAGTACTGACTTTTAATGTATTAAGCTTAGATACCATTAGCATTAAATTAAATTTTAATATATTTTGCTCTTGCAGAAAATCAAATCGGAGAACAAATAATAAAGAGAGAGAATCATTTTGATCCCNCAAAGGGATAATTGTTCTACAGTCAACATCGTGACTTCTTAATTTCTTAATTACGTGAATTCTCGGCACCCTTATGTGATTACTTTCTCACCTACTATAGATCGATCAATTATTCAAAAATTATAACAATAATCAATATCAACAAATAAAAGCCTACGTGCACACTTCATTCCAAATATATTGCTGTCTGGTTCGCTGCTTTCAATTGAATCCAACCAAATTAAAGGACAAAGGTTCATAGTTACTATTAACATTATATGACTTACTATATATAGATTCAAGTGGGATTCATTATTTATAATTACCATTGAATGAAAATGTAGGAGAGGATGATCTTCAATTACATAAAATTAATGAAAATTATAATAGAAAAGATCTGAATCTAACAAATAAAAGATTGTGTACCCAAAACAAGAATAAGGAAAAAGAGAGAGAGTTTTGGCATTTATTTTTCGCATATCAATGCTTAATTCTGTCGCAGTTTTGGAAAACTGTAACGAATTTAAGGGCCTAATGCTATGCCGCTCCATCCACTGAATTTGTCTTCTCTTTCTTTCTTACTCTACTGAGTACTGACTTTTAATGTATTAAGCTTAGATACCATTAGCATTAAATTAAATTTTAATATATTTTGCTCTTGCAGACAATCAAATCGGAGAACAAATAATAAAGAGAGAGAATCATTTTGATCCCTAGTTCCTTCACCATTGCTGTAGCCTGCAGCTAAAAATAAATAGCCAAAAAAAAGAAAAAACTGACTGCAACAACAATCATTGTCAAACTGGCCGCCATTTTCATTTGAATAATCTTGGTTACCAGTACCTCTGCCTAGCAGCAACAAGGTAACTCGAAAACAAACCTAATGACTCGTCGAATTTAACAATGAACCACGGGATTTGTGCATCATTCCAACCCTGAAACAGCCAACACGACGATGCTGATGATAATGATGGTACTCCTTATCGATCACACCTTGAACGTATCGAAAGTACTTCACATGGCAAGGAATGGTGATTGTTCCCTTTTGATCAAACCCAAACTCTTCCTCAGCCTCCCTCAACAACTGCATGAAGAGTGGGTGATTGAAGTAGATTACGGGAACAACGACTCTCTGTTGTTCCTCACCCTGCAGGCCAACTTTGATTGCCAAACACCCTTTGGGTACGTCTTTGATCACTTGTTGCTTCTTCCCGTTATGATGAAGGTGAGGCAAGTGAAGATGTCTGTTCAAGAGGCCTTTCTCTCCGCTACCCATGTGGTCGGCAAAATAATTGAACAACAAACAAGAAAGGCAAAGCCTTGGCTTTTTCTTCCCAACCCGAGTGTACACGAAAAAGAAAAGGGCCAAGGGTCTGCTTTACAAGAGGTTTTGAGAGCCGAAGAGAGGTGGGTTTTTAATTTTTTATACATACACGCAGAGAGAGAGAAAGTAGTGTATAGTTATAAGGTATGAATGAATGACAAAAGTGTACTTTTATAGTGCTGGGAAGGGTAAGAGAGGAAAGACAGATTACATTTACCAAAAGGTTCATCCATTTTCACTTCTTACAGAATAATTCCTATTGTTTAATTTAAACATGTTGCCAATATCAAATCTTTTTTTTTTTTAATCCTAAATTACATGACCTCTCAATTATCCTTTTTCACTAATAAAATTAGGGGGAAATCCACTACTAGTGGTCGTCAAACAAAGACAACTCAACTAAAAGCTGTTATGAATATATAGTAAACCAGCCTGGAAAGTAATTAGGGAAAAAAAAAAAACTGACAAACTGTACATCATAATGAATGTTGTTTAAAAACCATTTCTAATGGAGCAATATCCCCTCTAATACATTTTTTCTCCATTAACATTCGTTCCAAATCATCTACCTTGAATACTCTTGGGACCTATTGTATACAAAGAGAAGCATCAGCAATACACAGTAGATGGTGCACCCAAAAAAAAAAATATTGAAGGAGATTTGGATCCATTTCAAATGAGCTAAAATCCAACGTAAAATCAATTGAATTGCACATAGTATACACTGCCAACATAAGAAAATCATTCAATTAGAATGGATTTATGNATAAAGAGAGAGAATCATTTTGATCCCTAGTTCCTTCACCATTGCTGTAGCCTGCAGCTAAAAATAAATAGCCAAAAAAAAGAAAAAACTGACTGCAACAACAATCATTGTCAAACTGGCCGCCATTTTCATTTGAATAATCTTGGTTACCAGTACCTCTGCCTAGCAGCAACAAGGTAACTCGAAAACAAACCTAATGACTCGTCGAATTTAACAATGAACCACGGGATTTGTGCATCATTCCAACCCTGAAACAGCCAACACGACGATGCTGATGATAATGATGGTACTCCTTATCGATCACACCTTGAACGTATCGAAAGTGCTTAACATGGCAAGGAATGGTGATTGTTCCCTTTTGATCAAACCCAAACTCTTCCTCAGCCTCCCTCAACAACTGCATGAAGAGTGGGTGATTGAAGTAGATTACGGGAACAACGACTCTCTGTTGTTCCTCACCCTGCAGGCCAACTTTGATTGCCAAACACCCTTTGGGTACGTCTTTGATCACTTGTTGCTTCTTCCCGTTATGATGAAGGTGAGGCAAGTGAAGATGTCTGTTCAAGAGGCCTTTCTCTCCGCTACCCATGTGGTCGGCAAAATAATTGAACAACAAACAAGAAAGGCAAAGCCTTGGCTTTTTCTTCCCAACCCGAGTGTACACGAAAAAGAAAAGGGCCAAGGGTCTGCTTTACAAGAGGTTTTGATAGCCGAAGAGAGGTGGGTTTTTAATTTTTTATACATACACGCAGAGAGAGAGAAAGTAGTGTCTAGTTATAAGGTATGAATGAATGACAAAAGTGTACTTTTATAGTGCTGGGAAGGGTAAGAGAGGAAAGACAGATTACATTTACCAAAAGGTTCATCCATTTTCACTTCTTACAGAATAATTCCTATTGTTTAATTTAAACATGTTGCCAATATCAAATCTTTTTTTTTTTTAATCCTAAATTACATGACCTCTCAATTATCCTTTTTCACTAATAAAATTAGGGGGAAATCCACTACTAGTGGTCGTCAAACAAAGACAACTCAACTAAAAGCTGTTATGAATATATAGTAAACCAGCCTGGAAAGTAATTAGGGAAAAAAAAAAAAAACTGACAAACTGTACATCATAATGAATGTTGTTTAAAAACCATTTCTAATGGAGCAATATCCCCTCTAATACATTTTTTCTCCATTAACATTCGTTCCAAATCATCTACCTTGAATACTCTTGGGACCTATTGTATACAAAGAGAAGCATCAGCAATACACAGTAGATGGTGCACCCAAAAAAAAAAATATTGAAGGAGATTTGGATCCATTTCAAATGAGCTAAAATCCAACGTAAAATCAATTGAATTGCACATAGTATACACTGCCAACATAAGAAAATCATTCAATTAGAATGGATTTATGAAATATTACCCGTTCTGCTCAAGAATGGAACTGTAGTACCTCGTAAACACATGTATTAGGGTGGAAAGGTTAATCTGCATGCAAGGAAAGGAATTCATACACGGCAGGTACTTTATGCATGTGAAACATTGAACTTACTATATTTTTGAGATCAAAATGATTTTTAGCAACAGCTGGTTGAATGGCAGCTTTCAATTCGGAACAGAATCAAATATTCAAATGATAGTCAAAAACCCACTAAACCATGTTTCTTAGTGGCGGGGTGCTTGGAAGATGCAATTCAATGAAGTGGCGAACTGAAAAACCATCCAAAGTGGGAGAATGAAATATTACCTTTGAAAAAACAAAAAAGCAAATTATAGGAAATCGTTTTAAAAGCAGCTAGTGACGTTTGATTCCCTAATTTGGTTGGAGTTGCATTCGCCTTTGTCCTTTAAACTGGGAAATCGTTTGACCCTAATTCAATTATTGGTTATATTTAGGGTAAATTATGGTGAGAGTAGTCAAAACAAAAAATAGCAACGTTATGTGTACAAGAAAATGTACATTAAAATTTACACCAAATCACTTATAGTCGTTGGATCAGTGGGTTTCATCATTGATCCAACGACTATAGTTAATTTGGTGCATATAGAATTATCCATCAAAAAAATACTGCACTTATCCCTTGGTGTGAATGACCTGTCTTTGATCGAATTGAGAAAAGAATTAGTCAAAATGTATGTAAGTTGGTTCGGACATCTCTGCCAGTTGAATTGAAAAAAAAATTAAATATATATTTCTAGTTCAAAAAGAAACTATATTTATATAATAAAGTAGAACGATTTTGAATTCAAGAGACAAAGAGTGACCCAGATCATTTGCTAATAAAAAAAGGCATAATCTGACGGACGACGTTATCCCAAACTATCTCAAGCTATTGTTGTCTGAGATTATTTCGATACGACATACCACATTAGCTTTTCAAAAAAATTTCATACTCAAAAAATTTAGTTACCAAAATTAGTATTCCAAAATTTAATTTTTCCAAATCTTTTCTTAAAATCAAGCAAATCCTGACTGTAGACTCTTTCTCTAATTTTCTCTGTATCTCTTTCTCTCTCACACTCAATTAACGCATGCATACACACCTCTTTCACTCACACCCAAATTCACGCTACTATCTCATTCCCTAAAGTATTTATTTATTCAAGTGCAAGGTGTTTTTTGTTTTGAATTTTAATATAAGATTTAATTTTTTTGGCATTGGTTATATGGTTTGATATTTGAGTTACCCAAATAATCAGTATTCATAATTTTGTCATTGGTTATATTGTTAATATTAAAATTTGACACTATTCATTAAGTTCTACTCAATATTTTATTTTGTTTAGGTGCATTTATGTAATATTTTTATTTCGTTCATCGAATTTTGCTCAATCTTTTATTTTGTTTAGCTATGGTTATAATAGTTTTGTACATCATGAACTCTCTCTCTCTCTCTCTCTCTCTCTCTCTCTCTCTCTCTCTCTCTCTCTCTCTCTCTCTC